AGTAGCAAAACTGGCCTAATAGTTTTCACTAAAAACAGTAGGGAGTCAGTGACAATCAATACCAACGTATTCTAGCTTGTGTGTCAAGGACCAAACAAATGACTGGTACTGGGAAATAATTTTCAAGTTAAAATGCATCCAGTACCAAACCCAACAAAGGTGAAAGCCGTGACATCCCCAGGTGTGACTACATGTCGTCCTAGCTACCAATCAAAAGTCAGCCTTGAAAATACTGACTGTAAGGGGAATGATTCTGTTTGTACCAAAGTAAAAAGTTGCACGGGAGCAGAAGTGCCTTTGGGCTCGGAGAACACTGTCTGTCAATACTGACAGACCAGAAAGATTCATTAGGCATCTTGCTGTTTTAGACTTGTGGATTTCCTTTTTTTAACTTTCCTATGATTTGTAAATAAGAAAGTGTGTCTCTTTTTACAATAATAAAGGAATATGTGTGTATAATAAACATTCAAATACAGAAATATGAAGAAAAGAGTTAGCGTTGCCCACTCTTTTAGCTCCTGATGCTGGTTGTTTAAAACACATCCTAATAGCTAAAAGCATAGCTTTGCGCAGCGGCAGTATTATAGCCAACGAGGTCCACTCAAGGCAGAGTTATTGCTGGTTATTGCTAAGAGCTTAGAGAAAAACAAATTTATGTGGTTAGTCCAGGGGTCAGAGACTAAAACGGGCCTCACTGAGCTAAGGCTATGAGGTCAGAGGGGTGTGCTCCTCCAGGAGGCCCGAGGGAGGCCCCAGCTCCTTGCCTTTTCCAGTTCCTGCAGGCTGCCTGCATTCTTCAGTTTAGTCATTGTCCTCCAACTTCAAAACTAATACTCCAGCATCTTCAGACCTCTGTCACCTTAACACTGCCCGTCGTCCCTTGTGTTCTCTTTCACTTGCATGGACAGTGGTGCTAAGGTGGCTCATCCAGATAATCTAGACTCTGCCCCATCACTAAGTCCACTGATAGGGACCTTCATTTTATCGGCAACTTTAGTGACCCCTCACCAGATAGCACAGCTGAGAAACAGGATCTGGGAATTCTGTTGTGGGCATTTCAAGGAGGTATTGTTTTACCTCCTACACTCATAATTTTCACTAACCAGGGAGAACCACAGGTAACATATTAGTAATTTCTCCAGATCATTATATATGTGAATATTTATATATGATGAATGTTTTTATATAATGAATATTTATATATAATGAATATTCATATGTAAGAATATAGGTATGTATATATGAATATATGTATATCTACATATATATGAGGGAGTAAGACATGAATATATGGATTTGTGAAAATTGAATATTACACTGTTGTCCTGCTTTCCACGTATACTTGCATGGCTGTGCTTCTGTGTGTGTATGTAAACCGCTTTTTTGCAGTTTCAGCATACTTTTAATACCCTTTTAAGATTTGATGCATATTCATTTTACAAACACCTATTTCATGACTACAAAGAGAACATTGGCTTTTAGCCACATCCCTTCCTAAACTGTCCAGAGGCACCAATTCTGTTCATTACACGAAGGTCAATATATAAGGACATACGTGAGCCAGTTTGAACATCTTTTCCCTGGTAGAGATTCTGATTGAAATGAACAAAATGTAGATTTTAATGAGAATGATGCAATGAGCTGTGTTTTGCGACTTCAGAAATCTCAAGAGTGCCTCTCCTCTGTCTACAACCTACACCACCAAGCTTGGCAGCTTCTTGGAAACCATGCATATTGCTTACTGAATTATGAAAGGAGATATTATCAGATGCAATAGCTTTGACTTGGAATGGGCTGTGTACTGCAGGCTTGGTTCTGAGGCCCTGGTGCTAATGATGGCTTGTGAGACCTTTGAGAAGGGAGGCCTGGAAGTGACATCACAGGAAGTGTGCTTTGGATATAGAAACCCTGCTGCTGCTTCTCCTTCTGCTTCCCCACCGCCATGGGGTGAGCATCTTTGTTCCACTGTGTGCTCCCTGCCAGGATGTCCTGCCTCACCACAAATCAGCGGCATCGATTCTTCATGAACTGAAACCTCTGAAACTTTCAGTTAAAATGTTTCCTCCTTCCCAGTTGAACACTTCAAGCATTTTTGTTATGCTGAGAGAAAGCTACCACTGAGGCTTCTGGAGAGTTTTCAATAGGCTGTTCTTAGAAGGAACCTCACGAGTTATTATCAGTAATACAAACATGCACTATTGGTTCATTGCAGAGCTTTATTGAGGAATAATTGAAACACAGAAAACTGCAAGTAGCTAAGGCCCAATTTATGAGTCCTGACACACACAACGCCCATAAAGTGACCACTGCAGTTACAGGAATGGACATACCCTTCTTACCCAAAGGTTTCCTTGTGTGTGTATACATATACATTTCTACACATTTTTGTTCCACATAAATCATGTTTTTGGTACCTTCTGTGTGTACAATTCTATGAATTGAGAACTCCTATTACCACAGTTTTCCTTTAGAGCTGGGATACTGGTGGCATCTGTGGAGAGGATACCTTTCTCTAAGATACTCTCTCAAGCATGTGGAGAACCTCGCTCTGAGCCTGGACCCGTTCTCCACGCTGCCCCACACTGTGCCTCTGGGTGGCTGGCCTCCTAGATGTTCCTTTAGATAGGTGTCCCACAGGTGACTTGTGCAGAGTTCTGCTGTATTGGTCATCTGGACTATTTGTTAGCTAAACTTTACGTTCATGTATAATATAAATCTGCAAAGAAGCTCCTGTCTATGTCCTTGGACACAGCTGTGCTTATTTCTTTAAGAAATTATTTATTTATTTATTTATTTATTTATTTATTTATTTATTTATTTATTTTGGCGGAACCAGGGGACTCAGGCCCTTGCGCTTGCCAGGCAAGCGCTTATTCTACTGAGCCATCTCCATTTCTTAGAAATATTACTATATGGTAATCCTTCTCTTACAAATTTCCAAACTGAATTCCAGACAGGCATTCAGATTCCCAGTGTTAACACTTTGAGTTATGGTTCTTTTTCATTTTACTCGCAAAACAGTGAGAATGAATAGATTTTTCTTTGAATACTAATGAATTAAATTTCCTTTCAATGTGTTTCTTGGAATTTCTTTTTTCTTTTGTGATGTAATTATTCATGTTGTTTGCCCAGATTTCTATTTCAGAATTAATAAAGTTCCTTGTGAAAAGGATGAGATAAATTTTCTACAGGGCCTTCCAAGTACAAAGAACCACAAAATAAATCTGCACATGGTGCCACACATCTATAATCCTAGCATTTAAGGAATTGAGGCAGAAGGATCATAAGTTTAAGTCCCAGCTGGGCACTTTAGCCATAGCCTGACTCAGAACTTTTAGTTCCAAAAAAGTTAGCTACTTTTCTTCTTGCTGAGACAAAGTACCTGAAACTCAAAGTTAAGGGAGGAAAGATTTATTTAGCTCACAGATTGTAGAGGTTTCAGTCCTGGCTCCAAGGCAGGGTGGCACATGGCAGAAGGGCAATAGTTCATGGTGGCAGAAGACAGCAAAAGCCACAAGTGAGAAAGAGTAGAAGCCACTCTGTGCCCCTTATATTGTATGCAGGCTACTCAACCAAGCGTGGGTGTAGTACTCACAACCTTAATCCCAGCACCCTTAATCCCAAAATTGTAGTATGAACCAATACACCCTCCAGATTTAGCAACCTCTGAAAAAAGCCTGATCTAAAAACTCATGCAGTTTGGGGAGACAAATAGACACAAACCATAGCAAAAACAAACAACTCAACCTGGAAATGTGGGATAGAGTGTCCCCAGGTTGAATCCCAATGACACACACACACACACAGTGTGAGATAGGTAGTCTCTAAAACATTTCTCACAAGCCTTCTTTAGAGAAAGTATTAAGAAAAATAACAAGAATAAAGAACCATAAAAATCCAGGCAATCTTGGGGCCTGAGAGCAGTGCTCAAAGCCAGGAAGTGCAGCTCAGCCTGGAGGAAGGGGCCTGGGCCTAGGACTCACCTACTGAGCCCCACAAGGCCACAGGGTGCTGTCCTAGCATAATTCCAGGTCCCCAGGAGCGAAGGGACAATGACCCGTACTGAAAGGATTCCTGCTCTCAACAGCCTGGAGCACAAGCAGGGCGGAACAGCTGGCGGCCGTTTTATTTTGTGGTTGTCCTTCTAGGTATTGAACTCAGGACCTTGTGGTTGTCAGGCAGGCGCTTACACTGCTAAGCTAACCCCAGCTCCAGCTGTTGTTACTGTTACTCTAGATTTGATTTTAGTTTCACCACCTCTAAAGAAAAGCCAGGAAAAGGAGGCGGTTGAATCACTGTGCGTGGCTCTAACCAGGCAGGAAAGGGACGGTACAGTCACATGCAAACCGAGCCAGACCCTAGCCTGGATTTTGGAGACTTATAGAAAAATAAATAATGTCCTATCCCAGTCACCAAAGAGCCCACAATTCGATAAGACAGAAGGAAAGGAAAAGAACTGCAAGGTAAGGCAAAATGTGCTCAGGGATAGATAGATAGCGGGAAAGTTGTAAAGGAATGCGAAAGAGGGCTTTTGTCAAAACCCAGTAGAAGAAATTTACTACTGCCAAGTGTGGCGGCCCCGCCTTAATCCCAGCGCGCAGAAGGCTGAGGCAGGAGGATCACGGCCAGGTCGAGGCCGGCCTGGGCTACAAAGTGAGTTTATGATCAGCCTAGACTACACAGTATGATCCTGTCTCAGAATTAATTAATTAATTATGCACTTGTGGTCTTCAGTCGCCCATGCCAGTCTGCCTCACGAGGCCATCCAGCCCTTAAGCGACCTCCCGCGGCGTCCCCAGCAGAGGCTTTCATCACCGGCTCATTCGGGCAATGCGGAGGGCGCCAGGTCCAAGGCGCAGAAACCAAGCGGATCTCTCGCCCCCAGCGTGGAGCGCAGACACCGGCCGCTCCGCGCCGGCCACGAGAGGGCGCCCGCGGCCTCGCGGCCTCGTTACCGTGGCGACCGCGCCTCCCGCCGCGAAGCGCACGGCTGCGACAGGATGGAGCTGCGCTCCTGGAGCTCGGAGCTGGGCTACAGCGAGAGGACGGAGCGCACGGCCGCCGTCAGCACCGGGCGCTCGCTGGAGCTCTGCACCTTCCCCGCCACGCTGGGCTCCTCGGTCGCGGCCACCGCCCTCGAGCAGCTCTTTGTCCTGGGTGAGAAGCGCGGGGTCGAGGTCCCTCCGGCGCGGGGAACGCCCTCCGGGAGCCAGGCAGCCCGGCCGGAGCCTCCTCCCGCTCCCGGGGGCCGGCAAAACGGGGTGCGGGGAGGATCCGAGGGCTCGGGTCCCCCTCTGGGGCAGCGGGGTCGGGGCAGTTCACACTGCTCTCTGGGGACGAGTCCGGTCCCCTGAGGGTCCCCTCCACCTCTGCGGATCTCCCGGGGAAGGACCTCTTTAGGCGACTCCTGTTCTACTAGGCAGAGAAAATTATGTGAAAAAGAATGTCTTAGCGAATCAGACCAAACATGGCCTTGCGACATTTCTTGTTCAGCACGAAAACCAGTTAGGTAACCATTTTTGTTGAATTATTGTTAGCTTTTCCTTTTTAGAGGATCTAATTTAATTTCACAATTCTTATCAGATAGGTTTGGATAAGTGTTACTATGATGAATATTGACTAGTGATGAGATTTAAATTACTGACACTCTATCCAAAGCCATGTCAGGGACGGGCTTGGACCCTGAATTCTCTTCGTGCTTGTGTCCAGCGTCTCTTCAGCACCAGTGCTTTTGCATAAATATATTTTCTGCTAACACTTCTGGGCTCTCAGAAAGTTTTTCACGGGGAAAAAATTTATTAAGCCTTTTCTGCTCTGAGTTGCAAAAACTTGTAGCTCTCGAGCCGGTTTACAAGCAGGCATAAGCTCAAGCGCGTTCTCTCACTAACAAGACATAAGAATGCTTGTGCTGCTTTAAAGCGCTTTGCTGCAGATTCACGAACTGGTTTTCACTTGGTCTGAGAGCTTATTTCAGTGGAAGAGTCCAAGGTCCCTACACTGAAGGCAGACATGGCCGCTCACCTTTCCGGAAGATGGGAAGGGCCAGTAAGAGTGGTCCTGGGCTTCATGCCACCAAATGCTACCGCCCATCAGATCTGTGACTTCCCACCCATAATGTGGCCTGGAAAGTCAGCTCATCTGTGAAGTGGGCGCGTCGGTAGCCAAGTTCATTAGGTCATAAGGTGGCTGAATCAGGTAATGCTCGTGGAGCAGAATCCCACGAAACTCATCTTACACGCGAAGATCCAGGCGTGGATTCTGCTCAGAGTCCACGTACCGCGGTGGGAACCAAGCCAGGGTAAGTTGCTGCTTCTCTTGTCTTTGCATTTTCTTTTCCTTCTTCGCATCCAGCATGCACTTTGCCTTCCTTGCCTTTGCTAGCACGTCACAGCCCTGTGGTGGCTTTCTGCCTGTGAAGGGTGAGTGGTCCTTGGCATCACCATCATGGTGTACATGAATGAATGACAAGGACAGAAGTCCTATCTCCCACCTCACGGAGTAGAAGGACACATTCCACGCTCAAATGTTGCCACAGGACTAAAACTGTCACAGTGGGTTTTAAACATTGGATTCAGTCCAGAGTCCTGGCAAACATTATTTTGGATTTACTGTGTGTTCAAATGTGTTATGAAGCTACTCTTAAGCTGACCTCACAGGCGTCTTGGATTATCCCCGTGGGTCACTGATTTTCTTTGGCTGATCGTGTTCAGACCCCTTCTCTCTACCATTAAATATGCAAAGCTGAGTTTGTCACCAAGGACCATAAAACGTGTACCTCGACCAGAATACTGTGTAATGGGAAACATCAAGTAGATAACACATGCATATAAAGCACAATAGAAATTCATAAATAGATGTAACTTCCAGCATTGGAATAAGACGATGAAAAGTTAAGTAGGATTTGGGCAGATACATACAAGATCTCAACCTTCTAACCATTTTCTTTTCCAGAACAATCTCTACAAAGTGACTATTTTAAGTGCAATGAAGAAGCTAGAATCTTCCTTAAGGACATTGCTCTTGCTGTTAAAAAACTGGTACTGCATTATCTACAAGAACGATTTTTAGTCACCCACTTATTTTATTTTTATTAAACTTTAATATGAACTCTATTCGTGGTACTTAAGTAGGTGAATAGGGAAAATATTTACCTGAGTTAAAAATATTTTTGTTCCAACTTACTAAGCGTCTACACCAATGCAGATTACTGACCTGTTTCTTGCAGAAAACTGAATTATGGGGCCTGCACTAGGGTAAGGGCTGACCCGCTTAGGAAAAGCCATGGGGTAATAATGGAGGTAGGATAGGGGGCAGGTTAGTGGGCAAATGCTTGGGACACCAATATTTAAGCGCTGTTTTAAACCTATCTACCTGCCCACCAACCCATTTATCTACCAACCAACCAACCAACCAAGAGACAATCTCTAGAGGAAAAGCCACATGCCTGATGCTGTTTTCTATATGCAGTTCTTTTCGTGGCCTATGAAATATTGTTTGTCATCTATTCCATCGAAGTAGACTGTGCTGTGAGTGAAAACATACTCTTCCAGTTAAACTAGGCTGGTCCTTGTCAAAAACCTGTCAAGGAAGTGTTTCTACAATTCCCTCTGAGATGTCACAGACATGTGTTTACTTGTCATCTCTGGGTGATGTTTAGAATACTTCCTTGACAAGGTCAACTGGGTGAATTCTCTTTACTGGCTTAACAATGTTGAGGAAAACTATCATATCAAATATCTGCCAATGTAGGAAAATTGCTCTAAGGGGAAGTTTGAGACTACCCACCGTTGCTAAAAATCTCACTACTTCATATCTTGGAAATGATACACATGTGGCTACACTAGGCAGCCGGGTGCTGTAGTCCCTCTACTTTGACTAGATCTACGTGGACACACAGCATCTGTGTGCTGCGCTGCACTGGTGGAAGCCTCTCCTGCTTGCTTCCTCCACTTAGTTTTTCACTAGAATGTATAGGGGCCAATAAACACATTTATTGTGGCCAATAAAATATCTTGTATGTATCCATGTATCCATGTAATGTCTGAGCTGTGAAACCTCTTAAATCACACAGGTAAATCCATTTTTAAAGCAATAGATATTCCCTACTATTATAAAAATAATACATATTTGCTGCAGAAGTTTGAGAAAATAAATAGATAAACAAAAGGAAGAAAGTAAAATCAGTACAATTCGTACCCTAAAATAATCACAATAAACTCTTTGATAAATAGCCTTTTACTTATATGCGCTGCCTGCACTAAATCATATTACAGAAAAGTGACATATCATTACATATACAATTCTGTAATCTGACTTTTGGTTGATAAAATATAATGGCAATGCCCCAGGTCATAACATAGCTACATTAATTCTGAGCAGTTATTATGTTTTGTCCTGATTGATTTTGCAGTACCAGAGATAGAGCTCAAGACATTGTGCTTGTCGAGCAGGCGCTTATGCTCCTGAACTGTATCCCCAGCCCCACTGTCTTTCTTTTTTAAAAGTAGCTCCCCCTCAACTGGGCGTGGTGCTGCATGCCTGTAATCCCAGAGCTGGGGAGGCTGAAAACAGGAGGATCACTATGAGTCCAAGCTGTGTAGTGAGACACTGTACCAAATACATAAAAATAAAAAAATATTGAAAAAGAAAATAAAAGTAGCTCCCCCTGAAGCAAACAAACCAACTAGCCTTACCTATTTGTTTGGATTTATAAGTTTAAATAATTTATAGGTTTCATCTGTACATATTTTTGTAGGCAGTTTTCACTTTTTCATAATCAGATTTGAGTCTTTACTTTTAGATTGAAACTGCATTTAAGAAACACACAGAAAAGATTTCAGCAAAACTTAAGAGATAAATTAACAATGACATCTTAAAAACTAAAGAGTATGTGCTTTTCTCAGTTTCTATTCTATGTATAACAGCAGAAGACATGTAATAAAAATTAAATTTTGGAGCCGGGGAGATAGCTCAGTAGAATAAGTGCTTATCTAGCAAATTCAGGGTCCTGAGTTCAATCCCCAGTACCGCAAAATAAATAAATAAATAAATAAATAAATAAATAAATAAATAATTCAATTTTGAGGCTATGAACACTTATAGAACATTATTTAGGAAACCAATGTTATTATTTTGATGGGTTAATTTTTTATTTTATTTATTTTTGTACTGGGAATCAAACTCAGGATCTCCCACTGGCTAGGCAGTTGCTGTGCCACTGAGCTAAATCCCTGTTGCATGGGTTAAGTTTTTAAAAGTGAAAATTAAATTTTCAGGAAGAAATGAGAAAAACCACAATTGATCATCTGGAAATTGAAACCATGGAGCTCAGCAGATTCTACTACCTGTTGCAGACTCTGCCTGACAGGATGACCAGGGAACTGGAAGGTATTGTTGAGGCTCTCAGTCCTAGAGAGCTGGTCTATCTTACAGGAAAACGGATCCAAGTACTTTTAACAAGATGAGCTTACTAGTTGCTGCTTGTGTAAATATGGCTGGAAAGATTACGCACCATGCAGTCGATTGCAATTTCCACTTACATGTTAAGTAGAAGTAACATGCTGAATATAAAACTGTAATGTGTGTAAGTTAGCTTTAAGTAGACTAACGGTACATGAACTGGCCCATTCCAAATTGATGCTATCCCAACTAAATTAGGTGGCTTGGGAAGCCTAAATGATTACGCTATTTCTTTCTCTGTGACTTTGGTGACTTTAGGTACTTCATAAAGTATTAATATAATATCTATCCTTTTTTGACTAGTTACTTCACTTAGCGTAATCTTCAAATTTCATTCATATTATAAAACACGTCAGGATTTCCTTCCTTATTAAGGCTGGATAATATTCTCATATCTACTGACCACACTGTACTTCCACATTCATCTGCAGTTGGGTACTTGGCTTGTGTCTCTATATTTTGGCTGTTGAGAATATAGTAAGTCCCCAATAGACGAATGAATTCCCTTCTAGGACAGCCTTCCATAGCTCAGATTTATTCATGAGTCCAAAACTGTCAGTGTTACACAATTTTGTCACAGCTGTACAATAAAAAGCATTTAAAAACCTACATGTGAGGTCTGTTCACATCTCTGAAAGGCTGCAACTCAAGTGCTTGTGCCTGCTTGCACAGTAGTGGCTCCATTTCACGGGCCAGCAGCAGTGAGTGCACGACGGTTCCAGCTTCTCTACATCTTTGCTGACATTTGTCATTTTCTAGGTTGTTTTTGTTGTTAATGGTAGCCATCCTGTGGAGCTTGACTTGGTGTCTTCTTGTGGTCTGATTTTCACTTCCCCAGTGATTAGTGAGGTTCAGCGTCATTTCATGTGCTTAGCATTCATTGGGAAATCTTCAGAGTTGTCTGTGTTCTTCTTCAACCTTTTAATTGGATTTTGATGTGGAGGGATTGAGATGTAGGAGTTATTTATGCATTCTGGACGATAATTCCTTATTAGGTGTATGATTTGCAATTCTTTTTTCCATTTCATGTGCTTCTTTTTTACTCTGTTGATAGTGACCTTAATGAACAAGTTTTACATTTTGAGGTTGCCTAATTAATTTGTGTTTTCTTTTGTTACCTGTGGTTTTGGTATAGTATCTAAAAAACCAGTGCCAAGTTTGATGTCGTGAGATTTTACCCTGTGTTTCTTCCAAGAGTTTTTTTGTTATTGTTTTATTCTGTTTGGCAGTGCCAGGTGTCTTGGTTTCTCATTGCTGGGATGAAGTACCCAGCGCCAATGGGTTAAAGGAGGAAAGGTTTAGTTAGCTCACAGTTTGTAGAGGTTTTGGTCCATAAGTGGCTGTCAACACGGCAGAGGGACATTGCGGAAGAGAAACAGTCCCTGATGTGGCATGCAGAAGGCAGTGGTGGTGGTGGGGGCGGCAGCGGCAGCACAAACCTTCCTTTCCCTTTAGCCCCACCCAAGCTACACACCCACACCTACAGCCAGGGTGTGGCTCCCCACTGTCCACAGTCAGACTGTGTTAAACCAGTAAGTGGGCTAATTTAGTTATCACATCTGTCATCACTATTCACCCACTCTAGGTCCAGCCACCTTTGAAAAGTCCCACCTAGGAGGACAGGAGGCTTTTTTTTTGTGGCGGGGGAAGGGACTTCCAGATCCAAGCCATAATAGCAGGAATCAAACCAAGGGCCTCATGTGTGAGGCACGGTCTCTACTGCTGAGCCATACCCAAGCAGCTAAGAGATTCTTAGCTCTTGCATTTAAGTCTTTGCCCCTTTTTAGTAAAATTGTGTGTGTGTTGTAAGGTCAGGGTCTGATTTCATTGCTCCAGTGCCAGGAGTGTTGGTAAAGGCTTGTAGACGAGTTCTTTAATTTTTGCCTTAGGGCCAGCCAAATAGCTCAGCAGATTAAAGCACCTGCAAGCAGGCTCAGGGGCCGGGGGTTCGATCCCTGGGCCTGCCGTGCCGGCCCCACCCCTGGGGGTTGAGACTGGGTGAGGTGGCATGCGCCTGTAATCCCAGCACTTGGGAGGCTGTAAACAGGCGGATCACTAAGAGTCCGATATAGTAGTGAGATCCTGAACACCCTGTGGACCCTTTCCTAAAAAAACACAAAACAAAAAGGAATTGCCTTAAACAGAAACAAAAGGCTTCCTTGTGCGCCTAGGTGCCCCACGTTCAGTGATTGGTTGCTGAGACCGCAGAAAGGCCGGCTACAACCGTTCACGTAGCATCACAACTCCAAAGCGTCTCCCGGTTAACCTCTCCTCCCCCTAGGCCTGCTTCCTTTCCTTCCTCAGAAGAGATGCTCCTGAAATACAGCACATTTCTACATGAAAACTTTAGAATCTGCTTCCCAGGGAGCCAATTTTTAAAAAGTGGCCCTAGTAAGTGAAAAAAAATTTTTTTTTTCATTAAGTTGATCCAAGGCTCTATTTATTGGCGAGCTGTTCCCTATCTGCACTTGGTAGGAAGTTGGACCCTGTAGCCTTGTTCATTGACTGACACAGTGCTACACCTACACTGAGAGAAGAGGATGCTGGCGGGATAAGGGAGGAGGAAGGTTCTGGTTCTGGCTCCGGTTTGCCCAGCCCGGCACACTCCAGCTCCCGGGTAGCTCCGCGCTGGATCGCTGTGTCTGTGTCTAGCAGATTATCAGGGCTCACGCCTAGGTGAGTCTGGGGGGGCCGCAGCGGCACGCCCTCGAGCACTGTGCTGTCCTCTGCTTGTTCCCTTTGGCCACCGCTCCTCTCCACTTCCCCACCGCCATGAACTGAGCGTCTTCACTCCAGCACACACTTGCACCATGCTGCTGTCCTTGGAGCCAGGCACCAATGGGCTGTGTGCCCTGTACCCAACCCACGAGCCAAATCCAGCCCCTCCTGTAAGTTGGGGTGTCAGGTTTTGTGTCCAGCGATGGAAAGCCGACTACTATGAATGCCATCAAGAGATGCCACTCCGGGAAGAGCTTTCCCTGTATTTCCTTGGGTGGCTTTGTACTTCCCTCGGATAGTACTAAATTGTGTGCCTCTGTACAGAGAGGTTCCCAACACTCCAGAGAGTAAATGTCCAGCAAGCTCCTCTGGCCCAGGACTCTGAACTTCTTTGCCACTTGGTGAGCCACAGCCTCTACAGTGAGGTCTGCCTCTTGGGATGCCAGGTACTGCTACAGGTGTGTTCTGCCTCAGTCTTAGGGACAGTGGCTGTTGTCCCTGCCTGTTCCCCTGAGTCCTGGAAAGCTCTCCTCACTGCTTGTTATCCATTTCCTGGTTGTCCCAATCCTCTCTCCGGGGAGCTCCCCTGGTTTCTAAGGAATTCTTGCGTAGAAATGGACACAGTCCAGCACCTTTCTAAACAACAATGTTTAAAACTTCATGTTTGTTGATGATTTATCTGTCATATCCTGAATTGCCATTTAAAATCTTAGGTAATTACACGGCTATGTTGTTTATTTACCAATAGTTACTTCTTTAATACATTGGGTTCCCCAGAACACAACGGCCTTTGTAACTTACTTTTGCCAGGAGTGACATCCAAAGAGGAGACTGAGATAAAGAGACAAATTAAGGGTAAAGGGAGGGCAAACAGGAGTGCGAAATGATGCTGGCTCTGGCACCTGCACCTAATTAGCTATGAGACCACGCCCACAAGACAGTGTTGCCGTGCCAACGGATCGCCCATTGGTCAGCAAGAAGGAACTATTTATATCTTTCTATCTTTGACCTGATGTTTGCCCCACCTCCTGCACATCTGGGTTGTACATACGTGGGCGTGAGTGTCAACAATTTTTCAATAGTAGTGGGGACAGGAAGTTCTGGGCAGGAGATGAGAGGTGCGTGAGGCAGTGGGAATCAGGCGCTGTCGGGGTGCTCCTGTCTGATGCTGTCCAGAGCCCAAGGACAGCTGGTCCTCAAAGCAGCCGTGGGAACCAGAGAAATAAATACACGAGGGACCACGTGACGGGCCAAAGTGGTAAGAAGTTTCTGATCCAGAAACTAATTAAAAGAGTATTTCCAAGAAGGACATGTTCTTCATTATTTGAAGAGCCAACATCTATAATTGTACTCTTTCCCAAATAATTTAGTAACATTTCTACTTGCTTTTAAGAGAGTATCAGAGATGCTCGCAGGTTGAATATCTGTGAGATAAACCAAATGCAGACAAGAATTAATTCAAAGGATGATGAAATAGCATCTCTAAAGAAGAAAATAGCCACCCTAAAAGAAGTGAACGAAGCTCTGGGGTAGGTATTTTAAATTCAGTGCTTGAGGGATTAGAGGTCTAGGGCTGCACTGAGAACACTGGGTTAAGGGGATTTGCCAGGTGATCTGAGCTGGGCAGGGCATTTGCAGTAAGAAGAGCAGATCAGCCTTAGAAGATGCCCCAGGAAGATGAGCAAAGTGGGGGGGGGAGCGACAGTTCAGTCATTGCACCAGGAGCCCTGGACTCCCAGCAGCAACTAGAGCTTGCTTCTAAGTCACACCAAATTGGAATGCCACCTCCCGAGGTGCAGGTGCTCAGGAGGTCTCGCTCCCATTTCCATAAAAGTTACCATCCCAAAGGAAGGAGTCTGGTTGGGATTGTATTGTAAATATAATATCAGAACAGATGTGTAGTATCTCGTCCGGTTCCCTAAAGGTATTCAGTCATACTTAGAGTCTGATGGAGGGCTGAGGGCGGCATTGTGGTTCTCAGGTGAAGATCCTTGGTTTATTTGTAATTAAAGGCGATGACATGTAACTGCGTTTAGCTCAGGATCAGCAGCTCTGATTCCCCTTTCCTGTGTTGCCTGAGGCCTGCACTTCACCCACTTGTTCCATCTGTAAAACACAAACCACAGCTCCTCAGTTGGCCAGCTCAAGAGAACAGAAGCCGTGTTCTGTGGGAGAAATTGAAGAGCACCTTAGTACTCTGAACAAATCACAAAACTAAGGCATAAATATCAGAATGTTGGTTTTTCAAGGAGAATTGTTCAGAGAGTTCCCCCACCACACACACACACATACACACATACACATAAATCTTTATAAGAAGCTAAAGTAACAGAAGCTGTTTGGAGCAGGATATATCAAATATCAGTCATTAGATGAGGACCCTAATGCTGGGGCCAAGCCCTCAGAACACTGTCAGAAGAGTAGCTCCATGAAGACAGCTAACAGTGACGTAAGCATGAGGAATACAGGATGCTCCAAGTTCTCTGGGGGCTCGGCGTGTGCATCTGTGCGTTACTGCACACTCCTCATTGCTGCCAGAGACAGCTGTGTGAAGTAAGCTGTTTCTAAGCCAACACACCAGAACAGTGCCAAGGATGGATGCCCACGTCAGCTGGTCAACAACCTCATACTCCTCTATTTCTAGGATTTTTCAAACTTAAACAGGCATCAGAACCACCTAGAAGCCTTGTTAAAACAAACTGCTGAAATTCAGCAGGTCAGGATGGCCAGGGGAGGTTTAGAATTACTGTCTGGACCACACTTGGAGAACCTCTGCTTTACACAAGTCCTCTGGAAAGACAACAGAGGGCGGTTGCTTGGTGAGCTAGCATCAGCCAATGGCGGTGACTCGCTGCATCTGCTTTCCAAGGAAAGATGCACGTGCCGGTGCTGCTCACAACCCGCAGCCAGCAAGCAAGCCTCCTCTCCCCGCAGAGTGGTCCTGGAAGTGGGAGGCAGGACAGCTCTGTGTGCGCTTGCTTCGCTCCCAGACTCTTTGCCAGTGATTTTTGTCTTCTCAATCCATAGTTTTTGTCTTGCTTTCTCCTTTTCCCCCCACCAAGCCTTGTTCTCAGGCTTCTTTTTATTGCATTTGTTTTGCAGAATTAGACTTCTGGGGCCAAAGATATAGCTCAGTGGCATAAGTGCCTGCCTGGCAAGCACAAGGTCCTGAGTTCGATTCCCAGTACAAAAGAAAAAAAAAAAAAAAAAAAGAATTTGACCTCTAGAAAATGAACTTCCATCCACTTTGTTTCTATTTTCCTGAGAATTCAAACACAACCCTAACCCAGGGATGAGAAAAAAGAAAATATCTTTACATTTAAAGAGATCTTAAACAGTAAAATGGAGGAATGGAATCAATTGTCTTTTCTTCAAATCTGTATTGTTAGAGCATGGGTAGACATTTTTCCCAATATTAAATTTTCCTCAAAGGGACATGGCCAGTATTTGATGATGGGCTGAAGAGATTATTACCCCTTTCATATTCAAATCTGGCCAAGAAGAGAAAAGTATTTGAATGAGGGCTCAGTCATCTTCCAAAGGCTAACCATGGACTCCGCCTCCTGTCTTCCCGAGTTTGTCTCAGGGAGGCTGGCTGGCTCTTCGGCCCACCCCCTCTGCATCCCAGTGCAGCTGGAGGTGTGGTCAGATGGTCATCTTCCCCTGGCATAGCAATATAACTGAGGTTCCTAAGACAGATACGGGGACGGTGCAGATCAAGACGTTCATCTGGCCAGATCCCATCTCCTTTCAACATGACTTTTAAATCCTTCTGCATCTTAAGCCAAAATACTTTCTATGTAATCCTTGGCACAAGGGGAATCGATGAAGTGATGGTGAACACATGACACTTTTGTAGCAAGCCAGCAGTTGCTAGGGCGACCCTTGTCCTGCTTTCCTCTGTCCCACAGTGAAGCTTAAACAACCACAAGCACCTGTAGAGAATAAGCATCTCTTATGATTGTCCTCTTAATGAGGCCTCTTTTCAAAAAGACTTGAAATTCCTTCCTCAAGGGCCATGTTTTTCATGGAGGAGTGATTTTTTTTCTCCTAGGGACAAGCAAGAAGAGTTGGCAAGGCAGCACACAGAGTCCGTCCTGTCCCTCAACCGAATGATGGAAGAAAAAGCCAGGACCACCATTTACATAAATGAGACCTGTACCAGAGTAAACATAGAGAGAGAAGACATAGAGGCACAAAGAAAATGTGTGCAGGAGGCAGAGGAGCTAATGGCCAAAAACATTGCAGAATATCTGCTAAGGAAACAACAAGTGACTGATCAGGTGAGCGGCATGATTTATTCGTTAAAATACAGAATTATAACCTAGAGCAAGAAAATAGACATAACTTACTTGTGCTTACAGCAGACCTGTAATCTCTATTATATGTTCTGTGAGCAGTGGGACAAGAATAGGACTGGAGGCTCCAGGCCATTCAAAGACTCTTAGCAAAGACATTTGATTGTATTGCAGAATCTTGGTTCATGGGAAAGGACATACGTTGCGGGGTTTCTAATGCAGTATTGGCCCCTTGCCTAGATTCGGCCATAAAGGGACAGGCTTTCGCCATCATCGTTTCTGCTCACCTTTGGCAGTCCTGAGGCTGTAGACAGGACGAGGGAGTTTAGACAGGGCACCTGTGGGCAACTGCTGTTCCTGCTGAGTGGACCCGGAGAGGGGCAGCCTCGGGGGTGGCTGGAGCAGAAGCGCAGAGAGCAGGGTGCTCGGCCAGAAATTTGTAGGGGCAACCAGTGCATCCTTTTGTGCCCCATGTTTTGTGGGAGCTGCACTATCTACTAAGCCATGTTAACTAAAATTCTACAACAGCTTCTGAATGTCCCAGGAGAGGTGGGTTTGTCCCCGTAGTAGGTGTCCCAGGCCATAGCTTTCACCCTCCCTCTGCAGCAGAGATGCCCAGCTCACGAAGGGCCTTGCTGTGGCGCTTCTGATGCTGCCTTTTCCTAGATGGGAATTGGCGTAACTACAAATTATAAAGGCAAGAAATCAGGTTGGGGCATAGAATGGTGCTGTAGTAAAGAAGTGAGAGAAGGAGGCAGCAGGAGAGAAAGAAAGAAAGGGAAAAGAAGGAGGAGGAAGGGAGGAGGGGAAGGGAAGAAGGGTTGGAGGGATGGAGCAGTACGTGGCGAGCCAGGGACGTGCATGGCCAAAGAATTTACCAAGACCAGACCAAGAAGAGAGAAAACATACTGAAAACATTGTGAGGAAGCCACTCCTAGAGGGGCTGGGGCTTGGGAAGCTCTAAGAGCCTTCAAAGAGGTGTGAGTCTGAGAAATTAAAGGGAAGATCCCCAGACACGGGAAAGCGTATTAGAGAGGGTGGGCGAGGTCCATCTGCTGCTTGCCTCTGAAGTTGGCTGACCTATGCTGTCTTTACAACGAAGCCTGACACCAGAGGTAACGGTCATGCTTGTTACAGGAAGGGATGGCAGTGGTTGGTTTTGAAATTCAATCTGTTTAGTCACATCCTGTTCGAACCATATGGCTATGTGAAGGACGGATTCAGGAAAGACACCCTGAGAAAGTTTGTCCACCCCGGTGTTTCTCCCCCTTGGCAGGGTCCGGTTCCTTCTGAGCAGCTTAGAGCCCCATGCTGGCCCGGCCCCCTTGGGTCACCAGGCCAAGCCTGAGTGAGCATGCCCGGTTTAGGGCTTCTAGGGTGCTGGAGGGTGGGCTGGGCAACTTAGTACACTTCTTTATTTCTTTAGGGGGCAGACAGGAGGCAGGGGTGGTGTCCAGTCTGAGCTTTGCCCACCAGAAGTAGCACTCCACCGCAGGCACCAAGCACAGGGCCTGCATGTCTCACATGGGGAAGGCACCCTGCAGCGCTTGCTTGGGACTGAATTTTGAATTTTATTTTAAGTCATGCAGGGAAGGGTTGTTTTTGGTTTTTTTTTTTTTTTTCTATCTTGTTACTCTTTTTTTTTTTAATGTTTTATAAGATTTTTTTCCCATAATTTTATTGAGAAACAAATAGCAATGAGACAGTTTCAAACCAAATTGGTAGGACAGTTTCAATAATTAACACATTGCATACATTCTTCCTAATGGTTAATTGCTGTACAAAATGTGGACATAATGTGCTATTTACAAACACTATTAGAACAAATCCCTCTATTTATTAAGAGAATGTAACTATATATCTATCCCAACCACTTTGAATACACAGATACAAAATGGACATTCATCTGTATCCCCTTTTTTTGTTAAGTTCCGTTATTTGAATATTATAGGTGTGTAAACTCAGCAAAATATTCTAAAAGAGTCCAGTAGCCCATAATAGTATTGGGTCTTCCCCTGCTAACCTTTGAATTTGAGATTTTGGGAGGACACTTTAGAGTTAAACTGTAACAGCTACTGTATCTCTTACAGATTTGATATTTTATTTTTTTATAATTATGGTTATAATTGTTAACCCGTATAGTTCATTTTGTTTCCTATGCCTATTTTTGTGGCATATTTAGAACAAATCTGCCGAGCTACGAAATGAAAAAAGATTTTCTAAAGTTTGTTTTTATTGGTTTATTCTGTTTGTCATGGTAGATTGAAGAATTTAAAAAACTCTATGAACTTACCAAAAAGGATACTTTTAAAAAGAAGGAAGAATTGGAAAAATTAAAACATAGAATGTCAAAAGTGAAACAAACAGTTACCATCAGCTCAGTGGTAAGAAAGAATAAAGTATGCGTTGTCAAGCCTAACCGGGCACCTCAGTAGAGAGACGCATCATTTGCAAAGGGGAAGGGGGGCCAGGAGCTGGCATGTGCTGGGGGAGGGGAGAAAGGGGGAGAAGCGTGTGAGGTGCAGGGACCTAGTGCGCCAGGAATGGAGTTGTTGTGTACCGCAAACATGAACCAATAAAAAATAAAACTTGAAAAAGTATGGAAAGGAACTGATTTTAATTCATTTTCATGCCATTCTGGGAGAAGACTTCTGTTATGTTAGTCTGGTGACACATTTTTGAAGTGCTGTAGACAGAGCGACTGTGTTTGTGTCTTCAGGAATGTGGTGGAAAGAAAGCTGTCTTAGGTACAGATCGCATCTGACAGACCCAGATACTTTGAGACTTTTCACCAAAAAATGCTAAATATATGTGATGTGTCTACACATTTATGCATAAAATGTGTCTGTAAAATATTTCTGTAATATTTGACAGAACAAAATTAATAACCATGACAATCCCTTAATTCTGATTGGAGAATAATAGAGCAGAGTTTAGGCTGTCCACTAATACTGGGACAGTAACATTAATTCAGAAAGGGGCCGGGGAGATGGCTCAGTAGAATAAGCGCTTGCCTGGCAAGCGCAAGGGCCTGAGTTCAATCCCTGGTTCCGCAAATAAATAAATAAATAAATAAAAAATGAAAATAAAGCACAGGCCTGAGCATACACGGGTTCACAGCTTGGATCGGCCACGCTGCAGCTGTTCTGTCTAGGAAATGGTGCTGCGCAGAGGCGCGGTGGAGAGGGCATGAGCTCACGCCCACCAGGCTTTCAGCTCAGTGCTCTGTGTTCGGTAAAGCTTACGGTGGCTGTTGGCTGAGACTAGAAGACCACGTTTTGGCTGTGGACTAAGAGCGCAAGGAATCTCAGATTAACATTCCTCAGGCAACTTCAGTGTAAAGGTCTCCGCAAGCAGGTGGAGCTCCTGTGATGTTGGCAGGAAGGAATGGCTGCGAAGGAGCCGACAGCGCAGGGTGGGGTGACCGAAAGTAGCTAACAAGCATCAGGACTGTGAGCGTGTAGCCCAGAGACCTGGCCACGCCACGCCATGCCAGCACTGCCGGGATTCTGGGCCCCTCTGACTCTGGGGCTGGTTAGGAGGCAGAAACCTAGCGAGCCTGCGTGCCTGCGGCTCAGGAAGGAGCCGCTCTAGCAGGTAGTACCCCACCTCCCATGGCAGTACCCGGCCCAGGTACTGCTCGGACCTCACAGTGATGTCCACGTTCACAGGGCTTAAATAGCCTGTCCACGGCAGCTCTGTCAGAGAGCAGCACGGTCCGCCTGGTGGTCTTCCCTCAGCAAAATTCTCCCCTCACGAGGTAGGATGCAAACCCAAGACTCACTGAGCTTGACTCCCTCTTTCTTTATACCAAAGTTACGTTGCAAAATACATATTTCACTGTAAATTTTTATCACCGATTTTTCCTCAAGTCATGGTAACATTTTTCACAATATCTGACTATTATATACCCTAAATATTAATTGAATATTAAGAAGGAAGATTTTCATATAAATGTGTCCATCAATTAATGCAAATATACCACAAATTTTTCACTGTTTTGTCATATTCATTCTACTACCCTGAACTAATATTTTGAAGATGATTATGACCATCTTAATTAAATTATTTTTTAAATGCTACACAGAATGAATTCTTGTGTCAAAAATTTTAATATAGTTTTCACATTGTCATTGCTCTATTAGGTTACTCTTTATATCAAATTTTAGGTTTTCTAATGGTTTAAGAATTAGTTTGGGAGCTGGCCAAATAGCTCAGTGGATTAAAGTGCCTGCTCAGGCAGAGCGCAGTGGCCAGGGTTCAATCCCCGCCTGCTATGCTGGCCCTGCCCCAGGAGCGTAATGAGTTGACAATGGAGACTGGACAGGGTTGGCGCACGCCTGTAATCCCAGCGCTTGGGAGGCTGAAAACAGGAGAATCCTTAAGTCTGCCCTATGTAGTGAGACCCTGCAAACCCTGTAGACCCTGTCCTAAATACATAAAAAGATAAATAAATAAAATAAAAATAATTATTTTGACCAACTTTATTGTAAGAAAAAAACAATTATAATGATTGTTTTTAAAACTAAAGGACAGCCCCATTTTACAAGTTGAATGAGTAAATAATAAATATTTACTAGAATCAATCTGCTGCTATGAATCATTTGGTGATGACTGGATGCCATGTTTTGTGAATTTTTAATAGGTTCTTAGTGATCACAATTTAGATATAGCACAACTGCAATCATCAATAAAGGAGTGGGAAGAAAAGGTGGAAGAAGTAACGAAAACTTGTACGACTCTAGAAAATAAAGTGTAAGTGTGATACTTTTAGTGAAGTAGCCATAAATGTTGATATATTTCCTATAATGTAATAGTTCGTGTAATGAACTTATAAGGAGAAAAGGTTTATTTTAGCTCACAAATGGAGACGTCCCAGAGCATAATTGGTTGATCCTATCGCTTTGTGTCCCTGGAAAGGTAGTACACGGTAGCAGGAATGAATTGCAGAGAAGCCTGCCTGCTTTGTCGTCAGGAAGTAAAAGGCAGGAAAAGAGGCTGAGGTCCACAGTCCTCCACAGAGCACACTGCAACGACCTAAAGTCCTCCCACAAGTCTGTGCTTCAAGACACCACCACCTCCCAAGAGCACCTTCTCTGGAACAAGCCTTTAATATATTGGCCTTTGTGGAATATTCAAAGCCCAAACTCTAGCAGTCAATGTTTCATTCTTAAAAGCAAGGCTTTACTACTAGGCAAAATTATATTCTCTTATTTTACTCAAATTGGTATGATAGCTTTATAACATCACATTTGATATTCAGCTAGTCTTTCAAATGACCAAGAGAAAAAACAGAGGGTGATAAGAGTTCAGTTCAAGAAAGGGGAGGGACTCTGGGTTGGCTCTTCAGAAGCGGGCTTCCGGAATGGCTTTAGAAAGCATCAAGAACAATGGGATAAGTGCTTCTGCAGTGACAGGGAGTATTTCGAGAGACCCTGAGAGCAATGTGCCTTTAACTATAATATTTTTTCCAATTTCAACATTAATTATATATTCTTACTTGAGTTCCTTACTCCTTACCCAAAAACCATGAGAAGGAAACCTCCCACAGGGAAAAGCAGTGCCACAAGGCTGCTGCCCAACTAGCTATGCTCTTGTGTTTGTTCCTACTCAAGGGGAACTTGCAGAAGTGATTGAGAAAATTCAGAGAAACCTCAAGCACAGCCTTGTGGGAGCAAACGCTGCTCCCTTGGAACTGTCTCGTGACGCTGAAGATAGTCAGAGCTTTCTTTTACCCAGTGTTTCATTGTTCACTCACATCCAACACTCTGCTTGGTTAGCCCTTGGCGAAGCCCGGCTGTGCGGACCCTCTTCACGGGCCTGTCCCACGTCTGGCCACTGTGCTGATGACGCTGCACTCTCCCACGAGATCTCCCAGATTTCACCTTACCTTGTGCTTGGCTCCGCTTTGGCTCTTGGTCCATTCAGCTCTGCCGAGGAAGATTGGGTCTTCTGATCTGTCTTCTGGGGTCCCTCTTGTCATTCACTGACAGTCTAAGAGACGCAGTTTAGACTAAGAAAATTCCCAAAAGACAAATAACTTCACATTAGGTTCCTGAAATCACATGACTCATTTCTACATGGATATAAATGTACTGAAAATTTTTTAATTATTTTTATTTTTAATAGATTACAAATTGAAAATAAATTATTCACAAACATAAATGAATATAACAAAAACTGTCCAAATAAAAATGAATAATTTACAGATCAGTCATAATAGTTGACTGTGTCAAAACCAAGAGACTTATATTCATATAATTAGAATTCTCAAAGTAGAAAGGAGTAGGCAATAAATATTTAAAGATTGAAAATTTCTGAATTTAGTTCAACTTATAATACCACATTTCCAAGTTGAAATTTAAAAGTATGTTGTCTAAACCAGAAATTGCAGAATGTAACACCAGCCTACCATCATCTGTCCAAGAAATACGAAAATCTTTATCCTCAGTATAAAATTAAAAAATAGGCTCAATTAATGCTGCAAGTGAACGTAACCATATAGTTTGTAAGTGACTCAGCAGTTTAAGCTCATATGATGTGTGATTGAAAATAGAATGAATGTTTAAAGTAAAAACAAATTTATTACAGCAGTTTTCTAAGTCCTTTTTCAGGAGTGTCTTCAGTTGCGCTGCCATTGTTCCCCCAACATCCTGAGGCAGTTCGAAACATTTACTTTTCACAGTCATGTTGACTTTAGTAATATCCACAATTCACGTGGTACCAGATCCAGTACGTAAGCAAGTGAGGACGCACCATAGCATGTTTATAACCCTGCCTTCCTACTGAATGACATTCGGTAGCAGTTGTCACCTCACTTTTATCAGACCTCATAAAGATACTCAAAAAAGAGAACTTCCGGAATGGCTTCAGAAAGTGATGAAAACAATAAGATAAGTATGTTTGAAGCGAGAGGAAGTGTTTTGAGGAACATTCTTGTCAAGGTGCCTTTCACTGTAGTATATTTAAAATTTTAAACATTAACCATATATATTCAGCACACCTCATATTTCAAAGAAAAGCTAAACAAAAATATTGTGGAGTACAGAAAATTGGTCTTTGTTTCTAGGAGTTATGATCCAAAACCTCACTATATAACTGAAGTTTTATTTATTTATTTATTTATTTTGACTCCGCATGCCTGCAGGGCATGTTTGGCTGGCTGGAGTTGTGGGGATCGAAACACAGCAAGCTGAGCCTGACTAGCTGAAGGTTTATTTTGAAGCATGTGAGGTAAATTTGTTTTGCTCATGTCTAAGAAAGAAATGACCAAGCGGACCAAGCCTTTAGTGCATTGGCCTTTGTGGAAAAAAGAAATGAAGATTTCTTATTCTCCCATTTCTAATAGTTCACCATTTTTGATACTGAACCTTTTCAGTAAACTTTAGTTATGTACAATCACCAAAGAAAAGTGCTTTTGATGAATTTGATGGTTGAAGACATAGACTAACTCCCTTTTGACTCCTGAAACTTTACCTTGGCTCTTCATTACTTGGAAAATTAGGAGAAAATCCTCTGCATTCTTTTTATTTAATTCCTTAACTTATTTCCTGTATATGTGAAGGTGGCTAGATACAACTTAGTTCTTGCATAGTGGAGTTGAAGAGTCAGTGATGTTTTTGTAACATTCTATAAGAATAACAAGAAATTAAAATAATTTGCACTGTTCATCTTCCTATTAATCTATGAACCTTAATCCTCTCCACCATAAAATCTTTTGACTTCATTTTCAATAACACTGTTACCCATTTTGAGGTCAAAACATCAAGGATAACAAAAATAGTCAACCACAAGTATAAATCCTGTGTGTTAGGATAATTACTAGTACTTCAAATGCTCCACAGGTTTATAAGTGGCTTTGACATTTGATCCTTGTTTTTTCTTAACAATATCCAACATTACATTTTTCACACAGTGATCATAAATTCAGTGCTGTGGTCCCTTGTTTACCTGTCATTCAACTGGCTTCCAGCCCATGGAAAACACGGAGGTGGAAGTTAAATTTTGTGCATAAGTGATAGCCAATTTATGACCCAGAGTGTATCCTTGACATTAAATTACCCAAAGCTATGAAGATTATGGACACTATAGAGGGCTAACATAGTTTCTAAACTGTCAAGATTACCCATAACTTTCATCCATTCAAACTTTAGTGGTCTAGACTGTTCCTTCAATTTCTTAAGTTCACAACAGAATTTGACAAAGCCTACCACTTCCTCCTCCTTGAAACATGTCTTTCATTTATCTTCCCACCTGCAGCATTCTCCTTCTTTCACCATGCAGGTGTGACCTACCAGGAGCCTTTACTTGTTTCAAGTCTGTCTGATTCTAAATTTAGGAGTCCTTGGCCCATCACCATGATCTGATCACTTTCTCTTACATGATTTTCTCCAGACTCATGGTTTTAAATACTTCTATACTTCAAAGACCATATCAGTCTTATATATCCAGCCCTCACATCTTTCTTTCTCTGAGTTCTAAATGCATGGCCTCTTCCCTTGGAGGGTATAGATATATCATACAAAGCATGTCCTGTACAGAACTTCCTATTTCCTGACTTCTAGAAACACTTCTTACCCACAGTCTTCCTTGGCAGTGGCTATGACACCCTATTTGCCTAGTTAGTCAAGCCAAATTCCTAAGAGTCACCACCATTCTTCTTTGCAGTGCTGCCTAGACCCAGTGCAAGATGAACTAGAATGGAATCCAAATGCACATCCTCTGGCCATCATTTTTTGAATATACCCCAAATTCACCTGTGTACATCCTTACACCACCTTCACGATGGCTTCCCCACTTTGGTGTCCTGCTGTAGCCTTCTTTCAGTGTTTCTTCCTGCACTATTGTCTTTCTCCACAAAGTAACCAGAATCATCTTCACAAGATGCCTGTCAAATCATGTTGCCCTTCTGCTTTAAAAAATTCTCTCTTGGTTCTCTTCAAAGTAAAATCTGCACTTGATCATAGCCAAAAGAATGAGAATCACACTCCTACCTTACCATCGATACCTCATATGGTTGGATATATAGTTCAGTTACACAGTGCCTGCCTAGAAATGCAAGGTCCTGAATTCAATACACAGCCCCCCAAAACTTAGTATTATCTAGTCCTTGTCTACTGCTCCAATCTCATTACACCCTTCTCTTCAGAACATCAAATTTTTTACTGTCTGTGGGTCTTATAATTTGCTGTTCCTTCTGCCCTAGAAGAGCTGCCTCCAGACCTGACATGGTAGACACTTCCTCTCTTAGGCTTTAACAGCATATCTTAAAGAGTCTTTCCTGAACCACCCATTCAAAGGAGTATTCTCAGGGCCAGGGAGATAGCTCAGTAGAATAAGCTCTTGCCTGGCAAGTGCAAGGGCCTGAGTTCAGTCCCCAGTTCTGCCCCAAAAACCAAAAATAAAGGAGTGTTCTTCTTGGGCTCTCACTCTCTTTCACCTTTGTGTTCTTTGGTAGGCTTAACCATCTGAGATTCATGTTGTGGTTTTTGGTGCATTCCTTCAGTTCTGCTCACTCCACTAGAATGTAATTTCCAAAGAGCAGGGACACTGTATGTACGGTAGCTCTAGTGCCTAAAGCCAGCCCAGCAAGCATGGGACGTTGGCAATTGCTCTTCAATGAATGAATAAAGCATTAATTCATTAATTTAAAAGAATAAAAATGTTCATCAATTTTAGTAACTATACATACTCATGTATAGTTATTCATTTTGGTAACTATACATACTCATTTGTGTGGAAAGATAGGGACAGGAATCTTTTTTTGTGCCGATGTGGCTTTATTGCAAAATATGTTCTGACGTGAGTCTATTTGGCTTCCTTTGTAGGAATTTCTTTGTAAGTCACAAGGAAAAGTTGGAGGAGTCATCAAAACATGAAAAAAATGAACATTTGCATAAAATAAAACAGGTAGGAAGACAGAAATGACTTTTAGATTGTAACTAGACTTTATTGTTCAGTTAATATTCCAACTATGTATGAGAAATGTACAATTTTCAAAGTAGGTTTCATATTGATGTACAGCTATGATCCCTCACAGTACTTTATTTAAAGATTTTATCGCTTGTCAATGTGCTTCACGTACATGAACGAGACAAGTTGTCTGTGTGAAGATGATTGTTTTCTAGTTACTTTTCATGTGGCTGTGGTTGTTTTACGTACATGCTTCATGTGAAATATTTAGACAAATAGTGGTCTCGATGTCACGTAGTATCATGTTCTTAATAATATTACTATTATTTAGATGTACTTGAGTCAGACGGAGTCTCCAGGAGAAATCACTAGACATGTTTTCAATGTTTTCCTTTTGTCTGTCTGTCTGTCTGTCTGTCTGTCTGTCTGTCTGTCTGTCTGTCTGTCTCTTTCTTTTTTACTTTTTCTGGTTTTCCTTTCCATCTCCCCTCCCTCTTGCTCTCCTTCTCATTTGAATATTTTCCTCCTATTTCAAAATACATTTTGTTTCATCAGGCACTTAAACACCTGAGCTAATGGGCAGGTCAAAATACATTTGGTCCTTATTAACACTTCAGTTTCTCACACCAGAGGAGCCAAGCAGGATTCACACATGTGTGCCCAATTTACTTCACGTAAGAGTGTGGATTCTTCCTGGGCTCTCACTCTCTTTCACCTTTGTGTTCTTGGGGAGGTTTAGCCATCTGAGATTCATGTTATATTTTTTGGTACATTGCTTTGGTTCTGCTCACTGCACTTGAATGTAATTTCCAAAGAGCAGGGACTCTGCGTGTGCAGTAGCCCTAGTACCTAAAACCAGCCTAGCAAGCATGGAACATTGGCATAAAATAAAACATCCATTTCCCTAGAAGCATCTCCAGCATATCTTTCTTTATGGAAGTGTAGTACTTCACTGTATTAAAAAAAAATCTGTCTTCTATATTCTTTCACCAGTTGATGGGCACTTAGGTTGTTTCCAAGATTTGGCTATTATCTGCCTATTACAAACTGTACTACTATAAGCATGTGCATATGTCGTTGTAGTATGATGCTTTTAATTCTTTTCGTAAGCTACCCAGGAGGAGAATGACTGGGTCAAATAAAAACTCTAGTCTTAGTTTTCACAGAAATCTCCACACTGATTTCCACACTGGTTGCACCACTCGACACTCCCACCAACAATGGAAAAGGGTTCCTTTTTCCCACATAGCCCCTGAAGCATGTGTTATTGGTTAATCTTTTGATAATATTCTTTCTGGGGTGAGATGAAACCTCAGTGTTGTTTTAATTTGCATCTCTTGAATGACAAGTGAAATTGAAATTTTTTAAAGTATTTATTTGCTCTTTGTATTTCTTTGTTTGAGAGTGTTTTTATCTCAGAAGTGCATTTTGGAGTTGGGTCTTCAAATTTGGAAGTTCTGGGTGGGTTGTTTTTTTTTTTAAAGTTCTTTATATGTTCTCAGTAGTAATCCTTTATCTGAGGAACAGCTGGTGAACATTTTTCCCCACACTGTAGGTTATCTCTTCACTCTGTGGTTTCTCTTCCAGCTTATTAAAAGCTTTTTAATAAGCTGAGATCCCAGTTACTGGGCCTGTGTGATAATCCCTGTGCAGCTGGGGGTTTATTTATAAAGTCTTTGCCTACAAAAGTGTCTTCAACAATGTTACCCATTCTATCTTCCAACAGATTTCATGTCTCTCTTTTAATATTTAGATCTTAGATCCATTTTAATTTAGTTTAGTGTGAAACTAGTGAAAGATATGGAGCCAGTTTTAATCTTTGACATGTGCAAAGCCAGTTTTCCAGCATCATTTTTTGAAGAGATTGTCTTCTTTCCAGTGAAGGTGTTTGGCATCTTTGTCAAAGATAAGGTGGCTAAGTATGTCTGACATTGTCTCTGCATCTTCCAGTCTGTGCCACTGATCTTTTGGTCTTCCCCCCAACCCCCGCAATACTGTGCTGTTTTTAATCACAATAAGGTTGTAGAGATGGTGATTCCTTGCTTTATTTCCAGAATTGTGTTTGCCATTTAGGTCTCTTCTGGTTCCAAATGAATTTTAGGATTATTTTCTCTCATTCTGTGAGATATGCTTTTGGAATTTTGGTAAGAATAGCACTAAATTTGTATGAAAGTTTTGGAACTATGGCCTTCTTCATTGCACTGGTTCTTCCTACAAAGAGCAAAGGATAACTTTCTATTTTCTGATATTCTTTTCAATCACCTTTTTCAAAGTACTGCAGTTTTCAATGTAGGCTCTTTTACAACCTTTTTTAGATTCCTAGGTATTTCATTTTTTGTATGCAATTGTGAAAGGTATTGTTTTCCTGATTTTTCCCTTGGTGAGTTTGTTAGGCTACTGATTTTTGAGTGTTAACCTTGTATCCAGCTACACTACTGAATTTTCTTATTAAATCTAACAGTCTTTTAGTGCAGTTTTGGGGGACTTCTATGTACAGTATCATGTCATCTATAAACTGTGATAATTTAACTTCTTTCTTTTTTTAAATTTTATTTATTCATTTATTTGTGTGTGTGTGTGGCCAGCTCAGCCCACCAGGGGGCGGGCTGGCTGGCATGTGGTGCTGGGGGATTGAACTGCAGTCCCTGTGCTTTGCTAAGCTTGTTCTAAGTGGGTGCTTTAGACCACTGAGCCATCTCACCAGCCCAATTTAACTTCTTTCTTACAAATTCTTACTCCTTTTATTTCTTTCTCTTGTCTAATTGCTCTGGATAAAGTTTCCAGAACTATGTTAAATAAGAGTGGAGACAGTGGACATCCTTGTCTTGCTTCCGATGTTAGAGTGAAAGTTTTCAGGTTTTGTCCATTTAGTATGATGTTGGCTGTTGGTTTGTCATAGATGGCTTTCATCAGATTGAGATAAAGACCATCTTTTTCAGTTTTCTGTAGGGTTTGTTTTTTTTTTAAATCATGAATGAATTCTGGGACTTTGTCAAAAGTTTTTTCTGCATTTACCAAGATGATCATATGGTTTTTGTTCTCAGCTCTGTTAATATGGTACATTACATTTATTTATTTATGTGTGTTGACTTTTCCCTTCTTACCTGGGATAAATCACACTGGGTTATGTATATAATCTTGATGTTTTGCTGAATTCTATTTGTGAATATTTTATTGCAGATTTTTGCATCTACGTTCATTAGGGAGATTGGCCTACAGTTCTCTTTCTGAGTTGGACCTTTCTCTAGTTTTGGTCTGAGGGTAGTGCTTGCATCCAGGAATGAATTTGAGATCATTGCTTCCCTTTCAGTTTCATTAAAGGTTTTGAGAAGTTAGTGGTATTAAGGCTTCTCTAAACTTCTTGTAGAATTCAGCTGAGAATCAGTCAGGGCCTAGGTTTTTCTTTCTTGGTAGGTTTTTAATTTACATCTTTAATTTCATTGGTATTGGTTTACTTTGGATTTTTATATCTTTTTTATTCAGGTTTGGAAATTTTATATAGATTTCCTAATTGCATGGATTTGAATCTTTTCTGTTTTGGTAAGCTTGGATAAGATCTTGTCAATTTTATTTTACCTTTCAAAGAACCAACTTTGTGATTCATTGAGTTTAGTAGTGTTTCCTTAGTCTCCAATGTGTTAATGTCTGCTGTGATCTTTATAATTTCTTACTTCACATGAGCCTTGGCCTGCTCTTCTTTTTCAAGTTTGCGGTTCACAGTTAAGTTTTTTATTTGTGCTTGCTATTTCCCTGATATAGATATTCACTCCTACAGATTTCCCTCTTAGGACTTTGTGTACCATCAGTTCTGGTACATTGTATTGGCATTTAATTATAGAAACTGTATGATTTCTTTTTTAGGTTAATCTAT